TATAGAGGATTTTGAGCGACATCCGAAATTCTCCGCGTTATTTTCTGGAAACCACGTTTTGATGGAAATAACTTCGTTAATAGGTAGCACAGAATGCAGGGCTACAAGCCGTTGGAACTAGGTTTCCTCTTTTGAACGAGCACAAAAGCTTTGCTGTAGCACAACTACAGTGAAAATCCACCCATCGTGGAGAATCATAAACATAACGCGGAAAATTTTTGGCAAACGCGAATTTTAACCTTTCAGAGGCCATAATGTCGTTAGGACATAATGCAGAACGGAGATTTACAAGGCTTTGGGAAGTAGAGGGTTTCCTGTTTGTAATGAGCATAATGCTTTTGCTGCAGTTTAACTATAGCAATAATTCGCCCTTCTTGGATTTCCGTTTGGAAGTCAGCTTTAGCTGCTGCATGAGGATCTCCCCCCCCCCCCCTTCAAAGCACACATTCATCTAGAAAGCTGGGTAGGCCTCCCGTACACTTCTTCCCCATGTCAGAGGTACTGATCAACACCTTTATGGAATGCGCCATACACTCGTCTCTCTTTCCGAACCAGTCACTCATTCTGCAAGCTAGATCCATGCTGTATTAAAAAGTGCTCTTCTCGAATACGACCCCCCTCCCCTTTCGAGAGGGCCGAATACAACTCCATGTCGCAGATCCCGCTGCGTATGCTTGACCCTGGTGTTGCCTACGCGCGGATTACGCATTATTGATTATTGATGATATTGATTACGCATTATTGACCGTTTATTTGATCATTCTTCGTAGAGTAATTGTTCAACGACTAAAGTTAAAGGGGTCTTACTTAGGGCGTTTTCGGCTACCTTTGATTTGTTTCTTCACAGTTGATTTATTTACTACCTTCGCATTCGTGTTTTAATCCAACTACATACGGTTTCTAACCATGGAAATCATGGACATTTTGGAATCATCACATTATACTGTTTTGCCTGGATGACCTTCATAGGTTGGTGTGACGCTCGCCGACCTCGAGGTCGGTCGCTATGGGTGAAAAAACATCTGGTTGTGATATCAAGTGTAGGACAGCTGATTCGTTGCTAAACTGACAATAGAGCGATTTGCACATGCCAAGAGATGCAGTACTAATCCGTGCAAATTATGGGCTTGTGAGGGGGACAGGCATGGAGGAACCAGCTAAATTTCCCAACAGTTGCATCGGGCTAGAATGGTGTCATTGGTGGAAAAAGTGCGTTCTGGCCGCGCTGCGATCCGCACCGCGTCGCACACTCTATCGTTTGCAGCGATCACGGCTGTAAAACTCTCGTGGGACATATCTACCTGCAATAACTGTCACGGCTACCGCTTGATTTTTGATATTGCAGCAAGTATGCAGAACACGAGCATCCAAACGAGTTCATCACATCTCGAATTTGACCACAGCTTTAACTGTTTTGCGACGAAGAGGTATCCTTAGACATCCATTGGTGTTAGTAAGCACGCAAATAGCAAATTTTAGGTCTCGAATTGGTGAACAATAATGCCAGTGATATCGCAGATGGCAACCCTCGCATTGTTTTGGGGCTGATATGGCAGATTATCCTTCATTTTCAGGTGAGTCAGCATTTCAGCTAAGAATATGCGCTCTGCGTGGCGTTCCGCGGTCCGTAGTGGCGTAATCCATTCTGATGGGCACAGAGAGAACTGTGCTGCGTTTAAGCTTCGTAATGATGCGCGTCGACGCGTTACCGTAGCAGTAGCGCGCCAGTGCTTTAGACCGAAACACAGCTATAGCAGGGTATCGGTCGCGGCCGGCCACCTGTGTTCCAAGAATGTATAAGAGAATAGAAGAGTTTCAGACTGGGTACTAACCCTCTGTCCTATATCCTCCAAAGGGAATGAAGCGCGCCCGTCTATTCCTGCCGTATTCCCCTACACTCTTATGAAACACTCGCGGCCAGTACCGATTGACCGATTGACACTTCCCTCTTTGGCTACATTTGTGTTTGCAGCATTGCGGCGCTACTGCAACGGTGGCGCGGCGACCAGCGCCACCACCGGCGTACCAGTAAAGAAGTTATTTGTCCCTAGTTTCCGCTTCACTTTGCTGCTACGAGCCTTCAAAAATCCTTTTCGGGAATGCCATATCCTTTTGGTTTTTCATTTTGGACTACCTATTCTCTAATCTCTAGTATTTCGCGGCCTAATAGGCTCTTGTGCTACATAAAATTCATAGAAAGTGGAATTTTTGCTGTGTCGTTCCACTCACGCTGTGAGAGTAATCGATCCTGGAGTTTCATGAAACGGCTATGAATTGCCTAAAAAGAGTTCGGGTTTGAAGTTTCCCTTGCTGACGCTGCTCAAAAGAACTGAAGAGGTTTCCTGGAATAGTATTTGTTGGAATTACAGAGACTGGGTCGTTGCTCACCATGATGATTCTTTGGGGATTATAAATAACTATCTCAGTGCGGCGCAGTATGTCGACGCGGGGGGGGGGGGCATTTTGCACTTTCATTGCTACACTAGTTCTGATTTACAAGTCTCACTCTGCTGAAACATGTGAATTCTTGTGAAGCTGGTGGAAGCTCTTCAAGCCATCATGGTAAAATCTGTCAACTCGTGACGGGGCTGTCTATGGGTCGACACGTCGATGAGAAGTCGTTAAAAACTTCTGCGAAATTTCTCCCCCCCCCCACGTCAGCAAACAGCGCCTCTCAGTGCTAGCCCGTTTTCGCTTTATTGCATTTGTCTAATTCTGCTGAAATATCCTGTTTCCTGAAGTTCCGTATAGATGTCCTTTAGTCCGCGCGACGTTGCGATCGCCGCATGTATGAACACTAACTGGGGTCGCTGTGGGTTGGAAAGGAGAAGGTGTGGGGCGTTACTTCCGAGTCACGGCATCGCGCTCCCTAGCAGAGTATTTCCTTGACCATACCTACTCAAACGCAGAGAAAGCTTGTACCACAAGGAGGCAACTTTAGCCCTCTGCTAGCAGACCTTACTCTCTCCTACATGGAATTTGAGTTTTCTAAACAGTTAGTTTCTATAACATTCATCTTAATTACTTTTTCTTTGACGTTATCCTTTTTTTCGCAAATAAGTGGGATTAGCCCACTTCTCACTCTTTTTTAACCAATTGTATTAGTCATTACCCTCATCCACTGATGAGCCTCAACGGTAATGACGAAAATGGTTCGTATGGATAAGAGGCGAAACGAACCATCTCTAATTCTTTATCCAATTTTCCTGATTCCATCGTTCTTGTTTTTTTTCTTTATTGGCGACTTTAGACTACTCGGCGAGTGTTGAGAGAGTCGGCGCGCCGCAACACGGTCACACTGAGTGGAATGAGTCCTGAAGCGAATACATCTGTACGTCGTCCCACTTGCAATGCCTATTTGGCCGCAGTCGTCGCGAATCGGAAGTGTCGTTCACACCCTAAACCACACCTGTTGTTTTCACTAAGCAATCCTGAAAGGGCATCTCCAGCAAATTCAATCGCAGGGATAAACAGTAATGTAAAGATTACCGAGAATCGCAGAGAAAGTGGATCGCAGAAGTCTCAAGCCGACACCAAGGAGAGAAGGCTCTATTTTAAAGACACATGGTACGTTCAAACACATTGAGGGTGTATGAGACTACCAGCCCCCAGCTGTCGATGTGTCGTGGCCCCCCGCCCAAAATGTCCAGGAATGGAGATACAGGGCCGTGAAACACGCTAGTTCCTCCATGCTCCGCCTTACACCTTTTGCGGCGCAGATTCCCGTCCTTCACAACATCCGTTGCAAGCGCGCGTGTCGCGTGCGGCCCCTTGGCACTTTGCCAAGTCCTTTAATTGCGCTCTCAAATACGAGTAAAACGCAATTTCCTGATGCGGATAGCATTGGAGGTGCTACAAAATAAGAACAGAAGATGATGACAAGGGCCAGAACTCAATAGTGAGTCAAATGTGTGTGAACGTACTATGTGTCTTTAAGGAAGTGTAATAAGGGACTTAAACAGAAGTTTATGAATTAGAGATAGAGTTCAAGAACCAAGAATCAAAGATTAGATCCAAGAACTAAAAAAATTGAATTTGTTTTCAATGTCTTGTGGTAAAAAAATTTTCTCATAGAGCTCTCCCTTCTCACTGTTTGCCCCGAATTTCTGCAATCCAATATCTCATCGATTCTTTCATCATTTACCCATTCCTGTTTTTTCAATGATCACAGCTGTTGGAAAAGACCTTACGTAATCAGCTTTTGTTTTGAGAATAAAGTTCGATTCAACTCACAGTCCCGCTCAAAATTCCGCTGCGGTCATGACTTATGGTGCGGTTATTCTGGGGCAGATGTGTTCTATATTGATAGAACGCATAACTTTGTTATAACCATGCATACTGGACTTGAACACTTTGCAAAACGATACAGTGACTTCGCGAGCCGTGTTCATGGTCCCTATGACGGACATTTCAAAATGCCCATGCCCTTCCATCTTCACGAACCCTAAACTGTAATTGTCCAGTTCACGACGACCCACAGCATTTTAGGTGGAGGGGGCCTGAAAAGACCATTACTGTCTTCTGGCTCGGATGTCACTCAGTGGTGCTTAGCGAAGGCGATACAGCCCCCCCCCCCCTTGCACCTCTGAAAAACCACCACTGTGACCAAAGCGGCTCACTTGCACCTTTCTCAGCTTCACAAGGGTTCACAGATCTGACTGGAGTGAAACCTGTTGGCTAAATGAATTAACAAAATGAAATAGAGAAAGTATAAAATGCCCCCCCCCCACTACTCCTCACCCAAAAGGCGTCTTTTTTTGACCACACAAAGTTTGTAAGATATACGAGATTAGGGAACGATACACTCAGCAGTTTCCGGTGCATTTAATACCAGCTGACGGTGACGAGGCGATGGGGTCGTTTGGTCCTCACTGCCCACCAGCGTCAGCTTCGTTTCGTTTTTTAGCATCCGAAACAGCTGCTACTTCTGCACCAAAAGAATTGGCAGATCAACGGCTGTACAGCATTTCATTAACGACGTATTTCAGATTGAAAGCAATATGGCCTTGCTACGTGAGTGGGGCTGGGGCTCCACGAGTGTACAATATTCGCGAGAATCCACTCCTGTGCGGTCCTCATCGCCAATGAAGAGTCGGCTAGCTTCATTCCTTTCGAGTCCTTCAACATCAGCAGAAAGTCCAAAAATATCCGTAAAGCATATGAAAGGTTCAGTCGAGCAGGTCATGCTGAGATGGATCAATTCTGAGATTGCACAGTCAGTGAATAAACTATTAAAAAGTTTGCTCCCCTAATTTTTTGCGCCCCAGGAAACTGAATATGCGAGTGGAGAACATGGATCGTGATTGGAAGGATGGTGTCATGTTCAATGCACTGGTTCACAGATGGAAGCCAGAAGTGGTGGACATGGAAAAAGTTCGGGTGACTGAACCGCGGGAAAATTTGGAAAATGCCTTCGAATTGGCCCACAAACATTTGGGCATTAACAAATTGTTGGAGGTGAATTTTCTCAGTACTCAGCGAAGGTATTTCAGATAGAAATATCCTGCTTATTATTTAAGATTGATGATGTATTGTGTGCAAAGCCGGACAAGCGGTCCATCATCACCTATGTGTCACAGTTTGTCCGTACTTATGGAAGGCCTGCTCCTGTCGAAGAGCATAACGTGCACACTGAATTTTTGGAATGGCTTGCTTTCACATGTCAGTTGGACCTTAGAAACAATGAACAAGGGGTATGCGATCTGGTTCTCTGGTTTTCCTTTCTTTCAGATTTATTCAGGGCGAACGAGCAGTTCGAACGCCAGGCATACATTTCATATCAGGGAGACAGGAGGGCGTGGCTCGTTCAAAAGCATGCTCTCTCGGGAAATGATTCTATTCGCGAAAACTGTCCTGTTTACTGCTGAACACAACATATGAGTACGCGGTTGAATTCCGCAACCATGCCCTCCCCATCGCCGGATATGTGCTTTACAAGCCTACAAAGAAGAAATGGGTGAAGAATGTCCGAGATTCTGCGCGGCCTGCCAGTATCGTTCCCAGTTGGTCCCATATGCTGATGTGTTGCGGGAGTTAGGGTGTCGGTTATTTTTCCTTCAAAAAAAAACTGAGAAGTCTCGCAGCAAGGCAGCAAATAAAGGGCTAACATAGCAGGATACGAAGTGAGCTACGAAGGACTCTGGCCCATTCCTCTCTTCTGGGGTGCCTGCGCTTATTAACTCGGAAGGGGCCTTCTTGTGCAAAACTACATATCAGCTTAGAGATGAGAACTTTTGCCTAAGCCCCAAGTGGCATGAAGCTCTAAAATGTGGGAGTCCAGTTTAACTATGGTAATTTATTCAGTTAACGATAATTCATTCTGCCCAAGGAGTACTTTCGGTGCTCCCTCCAAGGTAATTAGTGCCCACCGGCGATTGGATTGCTCGTCTTCTCTAAGCAAGTAAACAAATTGGAATGTTTCAGATGTACTTCCGTGTACGTCGGGAATTCATAGAATACCGCAGTCTCTACAATACTATCATGGCTACAAAACTGAATTACACTATTGAGGAATTAGCCTTGATCCAAGAGAGGTACGTGCCTCATCGTGCGAGACGGTGCCCCCATCAATACAGTCAAGACCTGTCGTTAGCGTTCGTTTTACACTGTGCAATGAAGTGGGTTTTTTTGGGAATTGGCGCGCAGTAACGTGACAAAAGACCTAGTAAACACAGTATTTGTCAAAAGTACAAGTCCCAAACTACCACAATAAATCTGAGATGGATTATAGAAATCAAAGTTCAGATGGGAAACTATACGGAATAACCTTGAAGCAACCGCAGTGAATGCAGAAAAACGACTGCCGAAGCCATACTCGTCACTTTCCGTTTGGACAGCTACTGGCCAATCGATTATTAACACTCCGCTGAATTTGCCCACGGATAATCCGCAGAAATGTCTTGTTTTATTACAGAAAATGATCTCAGAACACAATGTGGGTAGTTTAACGTTCCATGTTGTACGTCTTTGAACAGCTTTCCTTAATTTCGATGTTTAAGCGTCACTTTATCGAAATGGCTGCCAAGATGGAAGAGCTGAACACTGCAGCTGATGTACGTGACTTTGAGTTTCTCGGTAAAAGAAGATAGTCGCTTTTGTAAACCAATTTTTTATTCAGTCTGGTGGGTTGGGTGGCCGCCCAGTCGCTGCGGAATATGTGGAACCATTACGAATTCGAATGACGACGTTAGCTGATGAAGCCCCATTGAAGTTGGCCACTCTGAAAATACTTTACGCCCACTACGCACTTCTCGCATACCTTCAAGACATGGAGAGTAAGATGAGGTTGTGGAGGTCAGTCGAGTGTTGTCTTTGTTTTTTAAGCTTCATGGGTCCAGGGCACATCATCGCATTGCGTAAAATTTTTGCGCAGTACGCCTCACTCCGTCCCCGCCCACCCCGCCGAGAGGTCTCTCTTCTGGTGCGACCCCGGACACCTTTCGCCGGAGTGGAATGTGACAAGGCAACCGTAATCCGCCGCGCCGGTGGACGTCGCGCCCGCAAATGACTAAACGTTTCCAGGTCGTAAATGGCGACACTGGCCAATATGTCATAGATGTCTACGAAGTCGTGGTCTGCATGAAATTTGGTGCTCCAGTCAACAAGCCAGTGCAGCTTGAGGAAACGCCGCGCCGCGTCCCTCGCCGCACGCGACGGGGTGGTAAATTCGAGTGTCTTTACTGTATCCCCACTTGGGGGTATAGCGCGCATGGAGCGAAAAAAACTAACAATTAGAAAAATCTTTCTCTAAAGCAAAAAAAAAGCGATCCCTCTCTTTTCCAGCGGCCAAATGCGACTCCCTTCCACTCTCCGGTTGAACTTTGCGCAGCGGATGATGTACCTTGGATGGATAAACAAGAGGTTCTATTGTTTAGCTCTGCTGAAAGTCTTCAACTTTTGAATCGATGGATCGTGGAGTATAGTCAGCTAGAAAAAGAGAACCCTCGTTCGAAATGTTCTCAATATATTGAAGACCTCAGGAAAACGCTAGCTAGTGAACCAAGTGCGTTATATGTAGATTTCCCTATCTGTCTCTCTTTTAAAATTCCATTTTTCGGGGACTTTAAAGCAGAAATTTGGATGGTTTCAGCTTCAGACACAAAATTGGATGGCGACAGCATGTTACGGTTATGTGGTCGTCGTTCTGAAGAAGTTCTAAGAGCTTTCGATTCTATGAAGACGAATCTGTGGACACTTCGTAGCTTGTGGGTCGAATGGGAACGCGAACTGGAGCGACTTGATGCAATAGCTGTGGCTGGAATCGGAAACCGCACCAACACAATTCAAGGTTTTGTAAGAGGCGATCTTATAGTGACCATTGAATTGAATTTGTTCTCAGATGAATCGGAAGCGATTCGAGTGCTGGAAGCCAAATTTGATGAACTCGCTCCACTACTAAGTGTTTCGGCTCGTCTGGCTTGTAATCAGAGGATGGAGCTGTTACGACTCAAGGTTAGGCAACTAAACAAGGTCAGTTCATGATTGATCGTTTCAACAGTGCAGATCTGTAACACTTCTAAAAACTTCTACGATGGAGTGTTCGTTGACGGGGACGATTAATGACGTGTTGTACCAGAATTCAAAATTTGACAAACAATTCATCGCTTCTGGGGGTAGGATACAGAGCCTGGATGGGTGATTCGGTGCCATTCCTCCCTCTTCCCATCTTACCTACAATATTCCAGAGTTTTCTCCATTTCCTACGACTTTACCGAGAATTCCTCTAGTGTTTTCGAAAAAAAACCTGCCGTTGAGCAGAGGGAGAGGAGGATCGTGGCCAATCAACCACTAATTTTAAATGTCCGAAATGGTAATCTTATAGGACTCTTTCCATGGTGCTAAACTAGGGCAAAGTGTGGGGGTGGAAGTGGTATAACGCACGTGAAATGGGCAAATTTTAAAAAGTCAACAACCGGGAGAATATTATCATCGCTTGGAAAATTTCTGTCAAAGTCGTATATGACCCTCCTCCATCGTCCAAGAGCCTGTCGCAGCATCCAAGTATTATACATTCCCGTGATGTTATTCTTCTGGAGGTGTTGCACCCTGGCTGGGGGGGGGGCTTTCTTTGAGGTCATAGAACGTTGTGAGCAGAAGAGAAGCTTTTATAGCTCCAGTTGTGAATCAGGGCAATCACGCGGATTGAAATGCTTGTATTTATTTTCTGCTTTAATCTTTTCTAAACTGCTTCATGAAACCATGAAATCCAATGATACGGCTCCGATAAAGAGCATTTCCCTGCATGTATTGACCTATTTGATGATTGTTTCAATCGTCAATTTGTGAACACCTTGATGTCTTCGCGTCTGATAGCTGGACAGGAACGTTAATCCTTGACAACTGCTGTGTTGAGACTAATAAACATAAAGTTCATGATGGAGGCAACATCTTTGTTATCATGCAATGTTACAACTAGATTCTAGGATTCTTATCAACATGCAGCTTGCTAGAAAACCGGTCACTGGCTCACTTCGGGTAGTTCCAAGTGGCTTCCAGGATTTCCTATGAGTATAGGTGTTGGTGTACAACTGGTGTACATGTTCACCAATTGTAGGAGGGGAATGTAAACAGGGCACGCCCTGGTGTTGGGGAGGTGGCACACTCTGGTGTTGAGGAGGATTTTCACTTGATCCGACCCAGCACCCATTTTTTCTGCCCCCCTTACGACCCCATCCCGGTTCCTCAACCGACCGATCATCTTATCAAATTTGAAGGAAACTTGTCATCAAGCAGAGATGGGGGCTAAAAAAAGCATATGGTGGACATGAAAGTGGGAAAATTAATGGTCGTCCTAAGTGAAATACGATTCCCTCTTATCCAGCGCTTATATATACGATATAACCCGCTATTTGGGGGGGGGGAGGGAGGGAAACCTGTACTGCATCCTGCAAATAAGTCGTTTTCACATGACGTTGTTTTCAGTTTGGAGCAACCTGCCGATTAGTAGTTGAACTTGTGCCATCAACTTCTCAAATGATAAGAAAGGTAACAAGCGTTAACGAGGCCGCGGCAAGTATTGAAGAAATCGAGGTTAGTGATAACTGGGGCGTGAGGTATGAAGGGGACAGATGCGATCACGCTGTTCTGCAGGGATGAATTTGCCCTCTCCCGTGCAGCAAAACGCGAGCATTGCAGAAGTCTCGTTCATTCGGCGATGTAATGAGCACATTTCACGGGCAACAAATTATTTCGCCTACTTCGTGGCGTGAAATGTGCTGAAAAAGCATTCGTAGCCTTGAAACTTTTGTATGCACGAAAGTAGGATGGCTGTGATTTTCAGAAAAATCTCAATCAAAGGACATCTCGCGGGGTTGAGAACGAACTACAAGAGACATGTGAAAAGATGGAATTGAAGCGTCAACTGAATGCCTTGCGGAAAGCCAGGCCTCAGATGAATGCTGTCGAGCTTTACTTGGCCCAACTGCAAGAGTGGCTTGCGTCCAGAGATGCCTATGTGAGGATTGTTCCACTGAATAGCCTTTTTGATGAATTTCAAAAAGGGTACATAGCCCCTCACTCTGAATTTATTCAGGATCGCGCAAAAGCTTTGGATGTATTGGACCTTATCGGTAAAGCAATCGATACAATTGAACAGGAATCGGGACGTTACGTTGACTGCGAAAGCTACAGAACTGTGTTTCGTTCTTGTACAAGCAGGGTTTGTTGAATATGAGAGTGGTTAGTTGTCCGTCGTAATTCCTCGACATTCCAGGTGCATGGTGAAGGAACAAGCTCCGCACAAACCCTTGAGGAGCCTCCAGTTGACAAGGTAAGGTTTAGGTGCATTTCAGCTCAAGGTGGGGACACCACAAGGTACAAAACGAAGCGTGGGGGGGGGCACATTGTCAAGTCTCTGACATTCCTATCACCAAGTGGGTCACTTGCAATTTCGCAGCTTTGCAAGGTTCACAGGTTCCATCACATTTTAAGCAGAGCTCATTTTGGTTTTGAAGAGAATCTTTGCTAAGGGTGTTTTACCCCTTCCCCACCCCCAGTTTTCTTGTTTGTCTTCCGAGTCTCTGAAAAAACTGTCTCGGGGTCTCATCAGCGTGAATTCTGTTAATAACCAAAAAGAACAACTAAGGGGGGAGCAAGGTGCCCCTTCTAAACAGAACTGAGTCAATGTCTAGTTTCGCATGATATCTTCTTCTTTCTGCACCAGTCCTTTGCCAAGAGCTGATTGTTTTGAGTTCATTTTCTAACAATTTGCTCTTAACTGTATTTCAGGGCTACGTGAAAGAAGTGATGAGTCGTGCAGAGCTTATCCTGAATCGCAGAGAGTCAAACGGAGATGAAGTTCGCGCTTCTCGGAACGACATGGCAGACTGCGAAGTAGTCTTACGCGATTGGAACAGCAAACGTTTGGCAGCCTTGAGGGAGCGATGGAATGCAAAACTACATGAGTTTGAACTTTGGGAAACGCAAATGACTCGTGTGCAACAGATCGCTGCAACGCTTGAACGCAGTCAGGGTCTGGACCCGTCAATAATCGCTGAACTGCAACGAATTGAAGAAAGCTGCGACCAGATGTCAATGACAGACTTGTTTCATCCACTTCGACTTGCAATTCGGCAGCTTCGTGTCGACCTAGAGCGTTCATTTGAAGAGCGCCTTGAAAGTTTGAAAATGTCGGGCGAGGAAGACTGCACCGTCGCTCATAACATCGTTCAGGTCTGTATCTACGATGTCCTCTTGCCAGACACACAGACACTCTATCTCTCGTGTCGTTTTCTTTACACTGGCGCCGTTTTGCGCACGCCTCCTCAGCCAACCGGCTCTCGCTGATAAAAGTACTCTCGCCATTTCACGTTCTGCATTGTCTTTGTCAAGTAGACATGGTACACTAATCACTGATACAAATCATTAATCACCTTTGAATCGAAATCGCCTAGTGCTCGGTGAGCCTTTCAATGGCAACGCTTTCGTTGAATACATGCGTTGAGTCAGCATTAGGAAATGAAAGGGAGGGCGTGCTTTTGCTTCTTCGTAGTCATCCCCTCTCTCCCGTTTTGATTCCGCCTACAAAACAAATCGATTTGAACTATTCAACGCCCAGCGTTTTTTTCTGATGACATTCATGAGAATGCATTCCTTTTGGTCGAACGTCGCCTCGCCATTGCGCTTACCTCCCCACTACCATTTTGTATTGATTTCCACTTCCATCTAAACAAGTGGAATTTGAACATCAAAATAACCGACAATGTTTTAACTGGAAATGTTGGGTTCTAGCTTTGCCCTAAACGGGTTTGCAGAACGGACGTCTAATTGAAAGCTTATTCTAAGCAACGATGCTTTCTGCATTTTGTCCTAGAGGCGTTTTTTCCGCCACAACGTCGGAATGTTAATGTTGACGTTCGAGATGTACGTGCATTTCTGCGATCTCATAATTGTGTACACATGGTTAAAAAAAGGTTTACAGCAATGATACGTTCCCCGTCACTTCGGCTAATGGGCAATGTGGAGGGCGCTCACTCGTTTTCTTCTCAGTCACCATTCCTAGCCTCAAGATTGATGCCCAAAAGCTTTTCGGCTCATCTTGAAGTCTTAATGCGGATAAAACTCTGTTGCCATCCTGCTTCATTAATCGCAAATTGTGCTTTCTCACCACAAAAACTTCGTGCTCCAGCTGAAGTCATCGCTCTATCCATTTGCAGTGGGAGCTGTCCATTTTTGCTACTGCTGACTCCATCGTTGAGGGTTTTCCATCCACATTAATTCAATATTGTCCCAACTTTTTATGTTGGTGAGCATATAAACCTTTGCGGCCTTCATTTCGGCGCATCGATCGCGATATGCTAGTTTCATACCAGTACAATTCCCACCTACAAGCACACTGGCTCATGATTTTATTGTGAGGCCCGTGTATTTTTCGTTCATTTTCCAAGGCATTAATGATATTTACGTCATCATATCGTTCCAGGAGTTTGGCGAGGAGTTGGTGGCGTTCTGTCCGCAGTTAAACGAGCGACACACTGAGGCTCGGCGAGTTCTAACACGGAAAATGGAGCTTTTCCGACGCCTTCAAAATTATTACGACGCTGTCAAAAGTCTTCGAAATCAAAATATTTCATGGAATACTATTACATCGGCAGAGGTACATCATTTTATAGTTCTGTATATTTTTAAGTATTATTATTATTGTTACTACAATTTCCCATATTTGTTGACGATTGTAGGAGAACATTGGTTGTTTAAGAGCGTAACGGGTGTCTGAGAGTCGCAAGGTCATTCGCAGCAAATACGATGCCGTGTTGCAATTTATTCCACCGTCAGTTCGTCCTACACTACTAATCAATGACAAAAATCGTATCGGCTCACGCGAGAGTTTTTTTACTGGCATACACCGTGTACTTACATTTATAAGTTAGATAGCACGCATTTGATGTAGCGCTTGCTGAAAAATTCGGGGAAGACAAGTGTCTGCACGGGTATCGATTGAATGTTTGCGCTCTCCAAGTAATTCCTGTGCTTTTCGTTTAAACAGCAAGACGATTCGCCGCAGTTCGGCTTTAAGGGAGCAACAAATGATATTCAGCGCGGCTTCTGTGGGCCATCTGGTGACCCAGGAAATCTTCTAACAAAGTCGCTCAATCGTAGCATTTCCCATCTTCACAAAAGTTCACAGTTCTCAAAATGAGACCTGTTGATTCACATGAACTAGCAAAAGAAACGAGTGGAAGTGCCAAATATCCCTCCCAAAGCAGATCGAGGTCAGAACTTGCGGTGGGGTTCTGAGTGACAACGAGTGATATGATTCGCTGGCATTGCGCGCCAAAAGTTACTCAATAAGACCTCTGAAACCTTGATTTTGCCTACCGACTCAGGCTCCAGCAAAGGGAGAAACTCGGTGCAGTTCGGCTTCGAATGGGGGGGGGGGCATCTTGTGGAGTCTCTGTAAATACTTGTTATCAAAATGGCATTGCACCATTTTGCATGTTCGCAAGAGTTTATACTTCTCAACAAAAGGAGACGTGTAGGTTAGGATAAACCCACAAAGGAGTTACAGTTCTCTCATTGCGGACCGGTGGGGCGTGTCAGCCAGAAGGAGTGCGCACACTGTTGAAGCTGTTCTCAGCCTTTTTTGTTGCAGAACGTATGCGACAAAAAGTGGTAGAAAACGAGTAATACGAAGGATATAATACAGTAATGCACTTGCCCACTTCAAAAACTGGTGCAGAACGACTTTGCCAAATCGCACCAAACACAGCCGCACTGCCACGCACCACCGGTCCGCAATGATGAGGACTGTAGCTTGGAGCGCAAAGCCCCCCCCCCACTTGAGCGGAACAGCGCCAGGATTTACTCAAGTTTGTGCAACCATGACTGTATTTTTGATTCGATTTAGCCTTCACTTGGGGTGTAACCGTTGGCTTAGTGTACAGTATACGAGCCGGCAATACATTTGTCCGAAACGTTTGATATTGCATCCCGTTCTTGTTTGCAGTCAAAGTCTTTTTCTGTCGATATTGTATGTGTCATCTGATTTCAAAGATTATAAATGGAAAGGAATTTGCGAACGTTCCCGCAGTGATGTATGAACGACGGAGCAGAATAGTGGTAAAGTGGGCAACAATATGATACAGTCTGCGACTGCTGATATGTAGGAAGGTGACAGCTCGCGTTGGGTATCTAAATGTTGGTTCTGATCAGAGCGTATTGTTCGCCCGTGCCACAAAAGATGAATGGAATTTTATTTGTGAGTTAGCCCTCCCCAATGCCAATACTATCTAACAGTAAACACGCGGGGTTTGGTCTTTGCCTGACGACGGGCAGTTCGGCCTCAACGGATTGGAATCAAGAAATGCTGCAATGAAATTTCTCCTTGAAGTTTGTTCAAAAATAGATAGATGTGTGCGCCCAATAGTTTCGCCAGCAGACGAATGGTCTAAGATCCGGTTTCCATCAACTCGTTTTTGAATAGCTAAAAATTCGGAGGATGCGATACCTATAAGCAGTTCTAAGTGAAGGCAGAGGCGGACTGATTTCAGCGGTCTAATCAGAGTGTGTACCTGTCGTCGCACTTCTGCCCCCCCCCCCTTGGTCTTTAGCTCCGATCGACATGCTCAAGCGGGCGCCGTAACCTTTCCATTCGCTTCTGCAACACGCTAGAGTTAGCATATCTCACTGTGTTCGACAGTGAATATCATACCGTCGCTCAGAGCCTTACCAAGACGTCCGACCATGGCTAGGCGATCGTCCAGGTGTTTCTGACAGGAACCCTTTCGGTAATCGCTCGGTCCAGCGGTCATCCTGAAGCCACATAACGTGTCCGACTCCAAGGATCTTCGAAGTCTTAGCACATGCGGCTGCGTTCCTGATCCTTGATCGTCGACGGACTTTGGAACTGCGGATCCCCTTCATCACTTGCTTGTAGCAAGAAACTCCGAGCGTCGCTCTCTCGATGACGCGCTGCTGTTTATCCTATCATAAAATAGTGCATATCTCTACGAAAATATGAGTGACTATTGCACTGATAGGTGGTTAAGACAGTCCGTCGAAAGTTTCGAAATGTGAGCAATGTTATGAAGAAAGCAACTAATAAATACCATAATAAGTGCAGTGAGCTCGTAGAACATTCTCAAAGACACCACTACAAAAGATACATAGCTAAAAAAAGAATTGCTTGTGGATTTTGTAACCGGCCGTGAAGGCTAGATGTACCGCGACACGAATGGAAGATACCCCGTTTGATTCCCAAGCAGCGCCGAGCCAGCAGCCAAATCGGAATCAAACACTCATCAGCGCAAACATCTCACAGTTCTGTGTCATAAAAATGACTGACTGATATGCTAAGGGTTATTGGGCGCAGGCAAGATATTCACAGCTGTTTTTCACATTGGTTTGCTCCTGCAGCTGGACGGCGCAGTTCGAGGTCCAAAACGATCAAGAATATGCCCCTTGCAGGACAACGTGCGTTTGAATGTCCCTTCGAGCATACTCACTCTTCAAAAATTGAAGTTCAGCTGGCGCACGGGTGCACATCTGTCATGTCACCCATACCTTCCGACTCGTGATTGCTATTTTTCCAACCGCTCAAGTACCGCATGTGTGGAACAGAATTCAATTCTCATGACAGCCTCAGATTGGTAGTCAGTTACTTCTTTGTCATAGTCGTCTGACTTCTAGACAAAGGATCATTAATTGGCTCAGAAGGTGAGAGATATTGATCTCTGTTAAATATTTTGCAAAATGTCATAGGTGTAACGGCGCACTCGCTCAGTAAGTTTGAATTGCTGGTTCAAGTCCTGCCTAGTGTCAAGAGTTTTGCCTATAACATGGCTTACGCGAGTAACTTCTGCGTGGGACTTCTATGATCAAACATGCTCAAAATTACATCGTAAATATTAGAAAAAATGCTGCTTGAAAAAAAATATGAGGTGACATTTTTTGTTGACGAACATGGCTGCCACCCTGACATCACTGTAGTTTTCTTGGGCGTGGTGGACGTGGTAGGGGCATTTTGCTGGTACCCATCGATAAATGCCAATGCCTCCTGTGAAGAGCTGTTAATCCTTGTAGAGCTATGTAATAGCAAATGCGTCGTCTACATTTGACGAGAATTCACAGGTCCCGTCAACGTTATGTACTTCAACAGACTAGAAAAAAAATGACGGTACAAAATCTTACCTACCCCCCCCCCCACACTCCATAGACCGAATAGCGCCTTCTCTTGAGAATGTAGGGCTTGTTAACTGGAATTGTTCATGAGATTATAACGATATAACTAATCTGACTGCGTAATCAAATAGGAAATTGAGCAGTTATTTAAATAGTATTTTTTTCTGTTAATGTTGACTCCCCCATAATATTGACTTACGTAATTAGCTGGAAAAGTAAGTTACCAATCCCAGGTGCCGTCTGTTTCGACAGAGCTTCGAACATTGCTGGAACGATGCGACTCCGAATGGCGAAGTGATGCGTCTCAGCTGCGAGCGGAACTCAACAACATTAGTGGCAGTTTCTTCGAGCTCGAGTTTGACCGCGTCAACGAAAAGTATGTTTTTTTTTCTATTTGTGTGAGTTTGTCACATTCCATATCGCAGAGCTGGAGTGGGTGTGGCTGCGGACTTTATTTGCATACTGAGGTAACTCCATACACCGGAGTTATTTTCACCGGTCCACGGCTTCGCTTTTGGTGAGATACTGCGGTTTTGAGATAGTTGTAACCGGTCCGGTGTATGGAGTTATCTCAGTATGTCTCTGTGCAGTACAAGACAACAGTTCCATCAAATGAACACGTCCCGTGAGTCCTGAGTCACGTCCAAATGAAGTTCATGAGTGTGTACATACTTCATATCCCACACCTCATCCGTCGGTGGGATATGAAGTATGTACACACTCATGAAGGTTCTACCAACATGCTATAATCTGCCCATGGAACGTCATTAATGAAGTAGTTTTAGGCTGAATTTGTTAACCTACGAAAAAGACAAACTGCGTGATTTGATGCGCATCCGGCTTGAATATCTGGATGCAGTGCGTGACTTTATCGCGTCTGCCGACTCCTCAATCGAAATCAATCAGATGGCCACTCCTAGTGATTCCGCTCATGTTCTGCAAGACCAGGTTAATTCCGGTCAAACGTGATGGGAAATTAAAGGATAGAAAAGCAGTCATGAGTAAGGTCGGGTTGTTTCAGGCGAAACAACTGTGCAGCGATCTGGATGAAAAAGCTGAGCGTGTGAAACGGCTGCAAGATCCTGCTGAAATGATTATTTCAGACTTGACGATCTCCCAACTCGTTAAGAAATTCCGATGGCGACTGATGGGACCTGTGAGCTTATTCCTAGGTACATTTTCTGTGTCATCTCCAATTCACCTATTTTTCAGGATGATGACAACACTTTCAACGAAACTGCTCGCCGATTTGATGATCTAATCAGTAAGGATCTGCCTACATCTGAGAACCCTCAACACTTCCTAACCATCACCGTGGAACTAATGCGTTCAGAAGAAGCTGAGAAAAAAGCATTCGATGAACTGAGCGAATATGCAATACCCGAGCAGGACAAAGCCGAGCGAGATCGCCTGGCAGCTCTTTTCAAAACTCGTCAAGAACAGCGAAAACTTTTGATTCTAAACTATTTGTACGCCTACCATGACTACTTGAATTCTCTGTTCCGAACTTACGAAGATAGGGTTATTCAGCTCATCAATAATCGAGTGTTCGGCGAGCTGCACAGGTTTAATGATGGCGAATGGAAACAATGGAAGGAGGCTGTAGGGGAGTTAGAGAGTGCTCTCGATGCTCCGATGCGCTTACGGCTACGTCCCGAATTTGCTGACCTGCAGAGGAAGGCATTCTCACTGGATAGCAAAATTTCCAGATCAATTGCAAGTTCGGCAAAGCAAAAACGCCATGAAGAAAAGCTCGCAATGAAACTGGCACAGTTTGAGACCTGGTTGAATGCGATGGAGGACGATGTGAATTCAGTGGAAAATATGCCGATGAGCGACGATCATATTTATCGTTTATCTCAGCTATTATCCAGTTGTCTCAACCATCAAAGATTGGTGGGTAAACTGGAACGGCTCAATGTACAGAATCGGGACCATGTGCTCCAACTTTGTCAGAAATACTACAACATACTGAACAGGTTGAGACGCCACAATCTCGAGGAAGGCACACTCCCAATCCATGTCGGCACCCTCGTTCATGGAGCCCCAACTGAATCGCAGGTGAGTGAATTTGCATTCTAATCCTTCAACTTTTTCGAGCTGGACATATTAGTTTCAGCTATCGATCAGTTCACTGGCTTCATCCGATTTCGCAGATCGTCCAGAATCGGTGCAGTCCGTGAGCTCAAGTATCGATATTGGCTCAGCTTCTGCTGACACTGAACATCCTATTGAAAGAGCGGTTGGAGATATCCGAAGGAAACTTCATAACATTCTTCATTCGTACAATGACGGTCCGAAATCTCTGGCAGCAGCTATTGCTGATTACAATCTTCTTTTGGTCGGTTGAATTTCATCTCTCTTACTTACCAGGAAATGTTTTCAAATTCCCATGAAACTTTAAAGGGAGACCAGGGTATATTGCCAGAGTTTGGACTGCTGGTTACAAAGACGGGAGCCTGTCTGGTTCTCACAGGCGAGTCGTGAGCAGTCGAAGTTGCATGAGTTGAAGACAGCTCCGGCGATTAAGTGTAATGGATAGTTGCTGCTCGATAATGAATCAGTAGGTGATAGGTAATTCCCCAGAGAAGAAAAAAAACTTGGAAGTATCTTCAAGGATACCATAAACAAAATCGCCCCCTGACAGTCACATCGCACTGCAACCCCTTGCTCACAAGTTGCTTTTTTGCATCTCCCAGTGATAAATATCATCCAATGCAAATAAAAGAATACGAAAAACAGCAAAAACAGCGACGGAAACCCGTAACAAAAATATTTATTCATTTATTTATTTAATGCTATGTAATATGCTTTCAAAAGGTCTGCGTACGAATTTAGCATTACGGTAGCGTGCACTTTTAGTGCAGTCGAGCTTTTGCACCAAAAATTGCATCACTGGTGACATTAGCGCGTTTTACCTTGCGAGATGAGTTGCAGTTGACTGAATCTGCTTCTAATGAATAAAATGTAGTGAACGAGAGCAGAATGACTTAGAGGCACGAGCGCGATCAGCAGAAATGGACATGCAATACCGTTTAATATCTGCCGCCCCAGCAAACAACAGCTGAGCGGCCGTGCGCCAGATGTGGAGAGGACATCTAGCAGGTGGGCGGTCCAACTGAGCGGGTATTAGCACTAGAACCTTCGACGGCTGTAACACCCTCCTGGCTCGCTGTGGATTCGTGAAAGTGGGACAAGTGGAACAGCCTCATGACCGGGGAAGGGGGGGGGAAGGGGGGCTGGAGTGCCTGCACAGCGAAAGACGACCACGAATTTCTTGCGCGCGAGAGCTGCCTTTAGCGGAGGCGATGCTCATGTACAGGAATCCAAACTGTTTTAGAGTATAAATTGCTAGTCAACTTGAAATGTTATGGCGCTTATGAGCTACCCAAACATCGCACCATTGTAAGGTCTGAGCATTCGCAACTCGTTCGCGATATGAAGGTCGCAGTTTTCGTTTCCGTATTTATAAACAGCATTTCACACTTTTTCAATGTACCTCGGTCCCACATTCACATGTAGTGGGCACAACGGCTGGAGGCGGGGGGTTACTGCCAACGTCATTAGTGGAAGAGCTGAGTGGAGTGCGATGACGCTGAAAGTGACCGCCCGCCTCAGCCGAGTCGTTTCCTGCTTACTCTTTTTTGTTTTCTCAAGTGTACTAGCAATGTTCAGACGTATCGCGGAGAGCTCAACAAGTTGTTTGACGACCTTCCGCCTGGGAACGACGCAAAAAGTGTGGCGCTGGAGAATTCTCTCCATCATCTATTGGAACATCTTAATGTAAACCTTTCTAGCACCTTTTTTCTCTTTTGTCCAAAGCACAATACATGAGTTTAAATTCTGAAATGCTCCAGGAAACCGCCAGCAAGCTGCAGGCTGAGATTGACGAAGAAGTGTCAATATCAGGAAAAGAAAAAGAAATAGTCACCGAGCTGAGCAAATTGGAAGAACGAGTAAAAAGTCGAAATGTTAGCGATCTGAACGTTATTTATGACTTGGATCAGCTACAAACGCAGATGGATCTGTTGCGAATGATTAGCAGTAGACCTCGGCAGTTTGTTGAAAGTGATCTCATGGATCGTGGAGGACCCACTTCGAACAGAACTCGTCAAAAACGCAAAGTTCTTGTCATGGTCACTAACACCGTGACCACGATTATACAAGTCGTTGAAGAACGTCTCCTCACCATAGAAGCTCGTTCTCGGGATCCTGTTGTTCAGCAAAAGCTCGACCTTGTGAAGGTGATTAATTTAGAAAAGTGCAAAATCCTGTGTTATGTTTGAAAGTGTCTTCCCGGAGAAATTATGCGATTTTTCCCATTTCAGACGAATCTAAAGAAGTTGGAAGAAGAGGCCAGTGGTTCACCTCCCGAGGAAGAAGTAAGTCAACCTCTGCTCTTTCCTTCTCGGGTCAGTTCGCGGAGGGGGTGTCGCTTTTCCCGCAGCTATTTCATGAGCTTATAAGAACTGATAGATTTTATTATGGTGGCCCGATTGGGCCTCTCACAATCAGCTCACTAGCTTTTTGTGCTAGAGCTTTGAGCTGAAGGGTAAGAGCGGCCCCGGTGGCATAATGATTAGCGCAATCATGTGATTAGCAGGAGACGGAAATGTGTGTTCAAGTCCCTCTGGGGTCTAATTTTTGTACATAACTCTTCTTATGCATTATTCAGCATTGTTATAATTTTCGGAACACGAACTGCACTAAACCGCAGTCATCATACTATGTCATTTTTGAAACAGGTGTGAGCTTCATTATGCAAAGCTATAGCGTTACAAGGGTTCGTAAGTCTTCACAAGGTAGCCTCTACAAGCTTCGCTGAGTTTCATTTCCCTGCTTCGCAAGAGTTTACCGGTCTCCACTGTGATGGGAACTACTAAGGTGCCACTCTCCCCCTAGCGGAACAGCGCCGAGACAGACTTCTATCATAGCAGTGATGAACAATTTGTGGCAAGTAACCATCGGTCCAGTTGTTTTTTCTACGAAATAAATCTTTCAGATTGACATTCCTACAGCAGGAAAGTCTCAAGAACTTCATTTGGAGACGGAAGTACCTGCACAGTTATCAAAGACAAGTGTACCGAGCAGCGAAACATTTGCGGCAGCTGTGTTCGGAGTTGAGCAAGCGCTGAACATCGCCGAGGACATAGATTTGAAAAGCTGCAACGATCCACACGTCCTATCGGAGTCGTTGAACATTTTGGATCGGCAAAGCACTGCCATGGATGCTCTCTGCGACACCGCTTCCGAATTGGCGAAATCTGGAGACCCACAATACCTGGACACGATCTCCAAACTACAAGAACGTCTTCTTTCTGTGAAGTATTCTCTTGCTGATCGCCTAGCGAAACTTCAATTGGAGGTATTTCTTATTAGTTCTGTTTGCTTCCTTAAAATTTCAGTTCATTGTCGTCTTCTTTATAACTAATTTCAACAGATTGGAAGCTTGTTGGTTTAAGTTATGCAATCCCGTTAGGGTGTTCCCAGCGTTCGTAACATTTTCGAACTTTTTCCAGTCGTTCTACTTCGGTCAGGTGACCTCGGCGTCTGCAGCGCAGGAGCCAGGCATTTCCTGTAAAACACTTTATTTTGGAGCGGAGCGCGCGGAAATGAGACAGAAAGCTAGTGATACTCGAATACCGTTCCGGATTACACCCGCTATATCCAGGATGTGCACCACTTGAGTAGGTTCGAAACCTCTTTGGGTACACGCAATGAGAAGAATAGAACAGCCAGAAGTGAGACGGCGCAGGCAAGTAGTGCTTTGGCTATGGTAAAGTTTGTGACTGACCGCGCGGCAGCACGGGTGGATTCCGGTAACCTTATTCGGGTATCTCTGCCGCAGCCGCGGATCAATTTACCTCCCGCAGGGCAAGGAAAAAGGATACCAGAAGGTGTACGGTGTCTTGAAGCAGTACAATGTTCATGCACGAAAGATCCCTACTACAGCCAAGTTTCCATCTGTGGGCACGTGTTAAGCGGATATTGAGCTTTTGCTATACCTCTCTTTCCCCTTAGAATTCATAGAATTATTCGCTTGGAGTTTTATGGAGCCTTCGACAGGATCCCTTATCAGATCGATATTGAACTTACTCAATGTTATTCATCTTAGTGATATTTCTTTGGAGCTGAATATCTCCAATCTGAGTCCTCTGGACTCTTTTCTTTCCGTTTGCCTCCATTCTGTTTCCCTTCTTATAAGATCACATCTGAAGTTTATGTGATAGCAATTCAGTTGCTTTCAGATGCCAAGCTCAAGCGTTCCTATCACTGCATTTTCACCAATGGAGGAATCCCCCGTAGAAGCACCTGATGACTTTGACACACTCGTCAAAGATATCAAAACAGCAACAGCTTCTGCTGAAGCGGTTCTAAGTGAACAGCCCGATGACTCTTCAATACTGATGAGAACAAGAGACAGATTAATAAGGCAGGAACCAGTACTATCGAGGCTTAGCGACATCGCATCGGCTAGAGCTCAATCTGGCGACACTGACGGCATTGACACCGTGAGCATGCTTTCTGATGAATTCAACAGTGTACGATATGCTATAGAAGACCGTATCGACGAACTTGGTGCTCAGGTAATACTTTGATTGAGTTTGGGCATCAAAGTATTAGGCTTGTCGCATAAGGTTTATACACGACTTTTTTGTAAATATCTCAAGAACGAACCACCCTGGAGATTAGAGGTATGCACCATCACCACACTACTCGACGCCAGCAATGAGGCAGCTTGTCGATTACATCCTTCCAGAACGAGGGAGGCTGGGACTTGAAGAAGTTGTCGAGCGCCTTTCTGACCTGATCCTTTTGTTCGAACTTTTTTCTGTCCAGATAGCGCTGCAGGTGGCTGAACAGGCAGTAGTCAGAAGGAGCGAGGTCAGGGCTGTAGGGAGGGTGGGCGACCATCAGCCATCCGTACTTCTCCAGCTCGGCCTGGCGTCGCCTTTGCAGTGTGAGGTCGGGCGTTGTCATGGTGGAAGCAGATTTCCGATCCTTCCACGAGTATGGTCGACGTGATTTTTCAATTTCCGCAGCTGGGTCACGTATGTGGAAGCGTCAATCGTCTGTCCCTCTTCCAACAGCTTCCAGTACTCCATGCCTCTTCTGGACCACCAACAGGACGGGAGAACCTTTTTGGGTTTTGGGGGTGGGGCCTTTGGGGTGGCTTCTGGCTGTTCTCCTTTGTCGACCCACTGCCGCTTCCTCACAGGGTTATCGCAGAGGACCCACTTCTGATCTCCGGTGATCATCGAGTTGAGAAAGTGAAGCCTCTTTTGGAAAGTGAGGAGAGAAGGTGCAGGTGGTCACCCTCCTCGAGAGGTCATAAGCGCGACAGTTCATGTGGACCCATCGACCAAGCTTTGCTCTCTTGCCGAGCTTTTCTAGTCCACTGCAACCGTCGAATGATCATAGCTAAGCATGGTCGCCATTTCTGTGGTGGTGAGGTACGGGTCCTCCTCCACGGTGGAACTTAGTACTTCCAAATCCAACTCCATCGGCCTACCCGACCTCGGAGCATCTTCGAGAGAAAAGTCTCCTTTCTTGAATTTGGCGAACTTCTTGCATGTCATGTAAGAGATGACGTCCTCACCGTATGTATCCACCAGCTTGGTATGGGCTTCCTTTGCATTCCAGCCGAAATCGTGGAGCAAAACGAAACAGTGGCGCAGGTACGTTTTGTCACAGTGCAAATTGTGCGACATTGTGTACTGCAAATGCAAGCTCGGTGAGTGATAGCTAGTGTAATGAAAGAGTAAATGTACGCGTCACGCACACATGATGACGTAATACCAACATCCATGCGAACGAAATAGGAGAGGATCAAACACGTGTATAAGAACTTATGTGACAACCTAATAGTACACGAGGACAATTTCCAAGCGAAGAGCATAGCAGGACAGTTAGTGCCGTAAAAGGGGGAGTCTTCGCTTTGTCTCGTAAATAGCGCGTTCAAGTCACTGCTGTTGTTGATTATTTGTTTTTTTTTGGACGTTTTCGAGACAACAAATACTTCTCAATTGTAATTTGCGGCAGCCTTTTGAGGCAATGATTGAATGTCTCCGCCAACCGGCTATCGTTTCACTCTTGAAAGGAGTTCTCCTTTGCAACTCTGCTAAAGACTAGTGGCTTCTTTTTGGGAATCACTTGGCACTTTTCGAAAGGAGACTTACCTTTGTTTTCGATGCAGACTCCGGGGGCTGGGTTTAGCGCGACGTGAGCCCTCTCTCCACCAATGAAGCGGTCCAAAAAATTGGTGGGAAACGGGCTGGTGCCGCGCCGAATCCACGAATCCAGTCCCATCGATATGCCCCACCGTCTATAGGGCAGGCGGCTATATGCTCATTTGTTGCTTTTGTTTAGACATGTGCAGCATTATTGCGGTCGTATAAGCAAGTTTGAGAGGAACTCAATATTCCATTTTGATTATTTCTTCGGTCGTGATAATTTTATGAGATTATCATCATTCAAACGTAAATTACTGCGTTACTTCGCGTTTAATAGGGTGTTATTCAGCTTTTGCAACCTGAACAAGTGTCCGAAGCTGTGCCAGACGACTTCGGCAAGCTCGTTGATGAAGTTCGTGCAGCAACGGCTTCTGCGGAAGCACTTCTGGACGATCCATCCAGCAATCCTCAAACACTTCGGAAAGCTGTGGATGAACTGAAAAATCAGGAGCCAACTTTATCGAGGCTGAGCGATATTGCGTCTGCAAAGGCACACTCAGGTGATCCTGAGTTAATCGATGTCCTCAGCTCAGTATCTGAGGAATTCAACGGTGTGCTATATGCTATCGAAGATCGCATCGGTGAACTCGAGGTAACGCTCTTAGCAATCGTTTTTTTAATTAATTAGCGAAACAACCGTTTAGTTGAAAACAAACTGTGAGCTGACCGCACTGTCTTTGCCATGTGCAAGGTGAAAAGGGTTCGCGGCTGCAGTAGAATAGTCACTTTCTTTGCTAAAATGTGCACGAGAATAGACTGGTGGTAGCGAACCCCATGCCGTCTCCCGACTTCACTAGGCGCTCTCCTCAAGGTGTAGCACTAGCGTCATACTAAAATCCCGAAGCGAACAGGTTGACATCGGTAGCGTACTCCAGGAATGAGAGGGGACAAAAGACAAGGAATGAGACAAAAGTCGCGCATTTGGCTATTGGAAGGTAGACCGTTGTCCATGCATCAGAGCTGGTACAGTCCGAAAGCGGCGGGTACAATCCTCCAGTTTCGCTCCCGTGCAGTCGGAATGGGAGAAGTGAAATAGGCAGGCTATTGCAACTGCGCAAACGACCATCTAGCACTGGGATGAAGATCCGCGGAGTTGAGTTTCCCATTTGTTTCCTGAAATTAAGCATTCCGCAAACATGTGTGACCGACGTCACAAGTCGTAGAGCTACTCAAGTAAACAGAACAGAAGTGGTTTACCCACCTATCTGCTTCTTCCTCCTGTAGGCATGAGGGAAAGCGCCAACCTTCCAATCATATTTTACACTGTCACATCTTTCCTCGTAATAAAAGATTCATTGCCTCAACGTGAACGTGCGTCTAGCGCGAAAATTTATGGCTCTGCGCAGGCACAAATACCGTGGAGATCTCATCCGACGGTGGGGCGGTCTTACGACCAACGATAATAGCTGATACGCCCATTGAACTGATTCCTTTTGTTTTCGGGTTTCGGAAGCCAAAATTAATCATCTTCTCTCGGTTACTGGAAATTCTTATCAACAAAGAGGTGGGTAGCTGCGGTAAGAAAGTGCTCATTGTCGACAGAAAACACCTTTAGTCATATTGCTGAACAAATTCAAAGTTCCTTTGAGCATTTTTCTGCTATCTGTCATTGATCTCGGAAGTTTTTTTAGAGCTCTGCTGCCGACATTGAAGTTTCCTCGGAGGAAGTGCCGCAGGGCCCGTCTAATGAGTTTGACAAGCTTGTTCGAGACGTTCTGGATGCAACAACTTCTGTAGAAATGGTTCTCACTGATGAATCCAGTGATCTCGATGTGTTACTGAAAGGCAGAGAGAAGCTCAGAACTCAGGAGCGAATTCTGGTAGATCTTGACGAGCTCGCTTCTGCAACGGCTCGATCACACGACTCGAAAGGTCTCAATATCATGAAGTCACTAAAGGAGCAGTTCTACGCCGTTCAATTCGCTCTTGAGGATCGCATCGACGAAACTCTCGATAGGGTAAAACTTAATTAGCATTTTTATTTCTTTTTTCCAATTAGTTTTCCTTGCTGCCTTTTTCGTCTTTTGTTCACGATAGGATCTCTATGACGGGCACGGTTCATGATGAACGTGATTGGAAGTCTTGCTGGACAGTTACGGTTGTTCGCGTTGATAGTGAGCGCTAAGAGAAGCATGAGATTGTTAGGACCACCATGAGTTATCCCTTACTGCCTCACGTCTGGTAATTCCACCTCAATTTTTTCTCTAACGTTATCCCTCAGGATAAATAGGGCCTGAATTGCGAGACTAGGCCATAACGACTCCGTCTCTCTGCGCTTCTGGAGTGTTTCTCTTGGCTTAGGAAAGGTGGCGCTACGTGATCCCCTCGTTTACTAATATGCAGAGAATTTTACTTTTGAAGAAGTTCCCCCTCGAGCATATACCCAACCATAAGCCATCATTCCCATTTCTGCGAAAACCAGGCTCCGCGCCAGGGACATCGACGACGAAGACATCCACGTGACGATAACTCCAGCGGCGCGGGGGCGAGTCAAGTTACCCTCGTCAGAGCCTCAACTGCCTCCGAAGAGGGTTTCGGTAATAACTTGTCTCGAACTTGGAAGAAGTGAAGATTGCAATAAAGGGGGATTATAACTGACATAATTCTCTATTTATTTAGCTCTCTGAAATTGTCTCCTTTCCTGATAAGGTTTTGCATAGAATTAATCAGTTCTTTTTTTCAAGCTATTACCAAACAGTTGAGATTTCGATATTTCAATGATTTGAGAAATGGATTATTTACGAGATGAAGTGTTGCTGAAGAGTGAAATGAAATGCAACGCGACTTCGAAGAGATTCGATGAGAAGTGGAGTTGCAGTATTGGAACTTGATGATAAGGGACGTGGGAGAGGGGGGGGGGACACCAAGCCACACTACCAAGCCAAAAGCGTTTTTTTACTCAAATTTTCGCTTCACTCAAAATTTCGCGCCATGGTTAGAAAATTTGTCATTCGGTTTTGTGCTGTTTTGTAGGGAATTCCTTGCCCCTATTTGGTTGTCATCTTAGTTCTTTAGAGATTCTGTTCCTTTAATTTTCAAGGGCTCAAACTGAAGTGGTAAGTCGACAAGATTGAGCATTTTCGACAGCTTGTACTTTCCCATCTGAGAAAAAAAAGCTGAAACCGCTCGTTAAGGCAGCGTTTAGACTTCGCGATCACGCCGCTTGGTGGTGCGATCAATCGCGACCGTTGTGTAGCGCGACTGATTGGATCGTGCTCCAATGCAAAAATTAGCTGGACGTATGCTAATTTACAGTCATTTTCGGTTATTTTTTGCTTATTTCTACTCCCGCTTGCTTCTCGCTTGTTTCTTCCTCCTAATGGCACTGTTATTTCTATTCTGTTCCTAATGTTTGTTGATTATTATGCTTTTTACCTTTGACATAGTGAAACTTTTCAGATGCATTGAAATATTTTGGATGGACGGCCGTCCTGCGCGAAACTTTTCTTGTTTTCGAGGTGGGTTTTTCAGGTTCCCAGTTTTGGTTATCTTTTTGATTCTTATCAATTATACTGTTTAGCTTGGTCGGTAGTTCAGCAGTTCAGTAGGAACCTTCATTTGTACGGTAAGTGGTTTCACTTTGTTCCTGTTTTCTAATTGTGTAGAGAATTGTAAAGAGAACATAGTAAACTCAAACATAACCAAGACACTGCACAGTTAGAAAATAGGAACAAAGCGAAACTACTCACCGTGTAAGTAAAGGTTTCTACTGAACTGATGAACTGCCGAAAAAGCTAAACACAATATGATTGATGAGAATCGAAAAGGTAACCAAAACAACCGCCGTCCACTCAAAAAAATTTCAATGCATCTAAAAAATTTCAATATGTCAAGGGTAAAAAAGCATAGTAACTGGCAAAAATTAGAAACAGTTTAGAAATAATAGTGCCAGGAGGAGGAAGAAACAAGCGAGAAGCAAGCGGGAGGAGAAAGAAGCAAGAGGCAACCAAAAATAGTTGTAAATTAGTATCCGTCCAGTTGATTTCTGCATTGGAGCGCGATCAAATCAGTCGCGCTACACAACCGGTCGCTACAACTACCGGCGCGATCGCGGACTCTGAACGCTTCCTAAGTACGTGGCCGACAGTCTAAGTTTCTTAGGAAGGTAATTATCGGTCAAAGCGATTCAAGCATTTCAGTTTCGACTTAACAGACAAGCGTCAAACCTCATGCCCTGTTAACTGAGAGCTTACTAAATCAGTTTATGCCATGGAACGGGAAATGAGAGGCGTCGTATAAGACTCCCACATTCTCACTGAGCATCAGTTTCACTTGAAGGGAGAGGAATTCAAAAATTCAATTCAAAAATTAGGTGGATGCATGCAGTCGAGCCCCAAGAGAGCTTGGATAACATTCAAAAGAGTCTCGATAAAATTCAAAAAGGTTTTGTCGAAAACTTTCATTTGTATCGATTCCACACTCCATTTCAATGAAATAACTACAACGACTTATAGAGCAGACGTTATCTAGATGACATAGAACATACTGGGGAAGAGTTCCCACTTTCATCTGAAAACTTGTGTTAGAAAAAAAAACTTTACTTATAGGCCAACCCAATATTTTTCGCAAATTTCTCATCTATAGCTGCCGCCTGTATGATAGTGAACCTCTGCAGGAAGAAACTGTCGTAAGAACTTCCCAAGCGATTAAACTGAACGCATATTAATAGCCGTCTTTGATGTTGTTATATATTAGCGTACATTAGTAGCCGTCATCTTCTTACGACTAATCGTACCACCTACACAAGAGAGATATAGGGTACGTGGCCATGTACCCGTCAGCCACTGAAGATTGTTGTTCAGTGAGAGCTTGCATGGTGTTGGCATTCGTGAGACAAATCGAGTGATACCGTGCAACATAGTTTAGTTAGGGGCAAAGGTGCGATGACTGTAGTAGGTGAAAAGGATAATGAGGGAAATAAGCGATAAATCTCTCTTGTGAGAAGCGCTGTTGCTAGATTCTCGCAGAATTCGAAGACAAACGGAGCCCTCATCTCCGTGGATCCTCGTCATGGGTGAGGTGAATGGGTCCGCAGCTGCAGCATTGTCTGTTTTTCGGTCATAAAAGAAGCACGGGGATAGGACTGGAGGGTTTTGACACCCCGGTGTCATTCCCAAGCTTGCCTCACGGCCAGCCACACGCCTAATCATAGCTGAACGCGCTACGTTGCCTGCGCTGCGTCTTTCACCTCTATTTGTTCTCTAGTGCTGAGCACGTACTTCGCTGCAGGATCTTGGTGCACCCTGCAGGTTGAGGATAGCGCGAGTGGAGCATGCAGACGGCATCCGGGTATTACTGTCCTTCAGCCCCGTTCTCGTGCACCTTTGAGGCAAAAAGGCACGCTTCTGCAGCTGCGGATCCATTCACCTCGCCTATGAAATAGACTGTCTTCAGAGGTGAGTGTGCCGTTTGCCTGCAATGACATGAGTTTCCGTTGAGTTCTCGCATTTAGATGCCGTACATTCACTACTCGTTCCCGAAAGTCAGTGTGCACAATACGTGTCAATTTTATAACCCTGAGATAAAAGGGGTGTACAGAATCTCAAGATTAAATGCGTAGGTCCCGCACCCTACACGCCCGGTTCACTCTCCCAAATTCGAGGTACATGGTGAGGGTGGCATGCAAGGACTACGCAGTTTTCCAGGCACAGACTGAGTCGCGGGGACAATTCTGCGTAGGCGCGTCATGGGGGATGTTGCGTATCTTCACGGGGACCAAGCCCTTAACTTTACGTGTGGGATACTGTATAACCTCTTTAATTCTAATCTTGTTCTTGTTAGCATATGCATCTGTTCATGGTAATAGACCAACGCTCCTCCTCACAAGGGAAGGATGGTAGGTCGAAGTGACCATTTAGAGCGAGGTCTTTGCTGTCTGATGCATCATCAAAATCTGACTGCAAGTCTGTTCTTAGTGTCTCCCATAGGAAGTGATGAGCTCTTCGACAAAGGCCCAATGATGCTACATAAAGTTGCTCACAAGAGACGTGGTCCATTCATGTATTTGCGGCTATAGCATAATCAAAATTTATATTTTGGTAAAACAACCTGCATTCTCTGAAAATGATGTGTTTAAGGTATTATAGTACTTTTTATGGTACTTTTGTACCATCAAAACTACCCTCTTCCATTTGGAAACCATAGTTCCAACGTGTCGAAAAAATTTGTTGAGGAGTATTTGCCCCCGAGGATAGATAATCATAGACATGGGTTAAGAAATGCCAGTAAAACTCTTCATAACTGAATCTGAATTGAAACTGAATTTGCAAACTGGCGACACATCAAAAATATGTTTTCGCCCAGACTGTCATTTTTGTTATGGCAAACCGTTCGCCGATTCTACCAAAACGCCCCTCAAAGAAAGAAAAATAATTTCAATTATTGAACCGCAGGTTCTTTTGGATGGGTCCAATTACCTGTTTTTTAAACGATCGGTACACATTCTTACGTCGCTTCTATAAAAATGACATGTTGAGTGTAGGCGTCTCTGCAAATTTTGCAGACGGATTTGCAATTGACATGTATAAGACGCATTTCATTACGCAGATCTCATTTCACCGGCATCCAGACCCGCAATCCTTCCCTCGTGAGAACGCAAGAAATTTCGGGTGTTGGCTCTAAAAGACTATGAAATCCCTTCGTAATCGATATTCTGCAACAATATGAAACCATTATGAAGAAGATAACTTCACGTATGTTACTATTGTCGTAATGTAAAGTTGAGAGAGAGAGTTCGAGACGGAAAAAAAGTAGAAATCGCCCTGAAGTAGAGCAGAAGTTGACGCATTCCGAAGTGGATTCATGTTTCTCGTGAAAGGAGGTAACATCATATACGTGCTCACATGCTTAATTATAGAGAAACACGCAACCCTTGGACGCGTCGTTCACCGCGCAGAAGGAGGGAACGAACTTGACTCATGGAGGTCCAGCTGCTGACGACGACCGAGCACTTTTGGACACATCTTATGATAATTATCCGCAATTGTCCGAAGTTCTGGTCTCTCAGCTTCTGAGTGATGTCGGCAAAGTCACCAAAGAAGAAATGACCAACAAGGGTTCTGCACCTGCTGGGAATAACTTTGCGAAATCTCAACTGCTAGATCAGATTCAACGTGAAGTGGAAGAACTGGAAAATATTGTTCCGATAACGTTACCATCTTCATCCGATTTAATCGATTTCCAACAAGCTAAAACACCAAAGCTGCTCTCCAAGCTCGATGCAATCGCTGATGTTCCGGTCGATTTGCTTCCAAAGAAGGATGATCTTTCAAACAGGATCGACATTATTAACAGGAAATTAGATGATCAGGTGCAAGAAATGAAGAATTTCGAACAGAAGACTGCTGATTTGCAAAACGTTCTCGATGAATGTCGTGGAAAAATGAAAACTCGTGATCTACCTGCACCTATCGATGACGTGACTAAGGATGAACAAGATCTGTCAGCAGTTCTTCTCGCAATCGACTCCATTCCACAAGAGGATCTTTCACCAAGAAACCAATTGGCTCGAGATGTGAACAACATCAAGGAACAAGTGAAGGTGATTTTTTCTACGAAACGCGTTCCTTTTATTTATTTATAATATACATATATTGTTTCTTTTTTGAAATTCTCCTTTGACCAAATATTTAGAGTGCAATACTTTTTAGGGGCAATTGGCAAGTTTGCGAAAAGCCTTACCGGATGAAATGAAAGCACGTCAACAGCAGGATGAAGTCAAGGATCGACTATACGAAATATCGCAGATGCTTTGATAAGAGTGGATCCTGAGAATTTGGAGTCTGCAAAGCAACAAATAGCATCAATTGATGGCTGAATTACAACGGCTGAGTGGTGTTGCAATACATGCCAGCAATTTGCTACCAGCCCGTCCACCAGTTGTGAGTCACGATTGACCTTGACAAGACACTTCCAGAACAGGTGGAGAAGATGCAGAAGGAATGTGATGAGAAGAAGAAGGATATCGATCAAATCGCGGCAGTTTGAACGCTGTTGCGCCTGAGATTCTTCTCATCTCTGAGAAGTCTACAGCAACAACGCGGACGGAAATACCGCATAATCTCAATGATCAGCAATCAGTACTTGAGGAAGCTCGAGACAAAGAAGCAACGTCTTGAGAATCTCATAACAGACGATACGCGGCTGGCGATGCGACGGAAGAGCTGCAACAGAGAAGCGAAGTGGATATTGTCGAGGCTGAAAGATCTTCTGAGAAGGCTTGGTGATTCAGTTGGAGCATAACTGCATGCATTGGCTGCATTCAATGTTGCACGAAAAGATGCATGAAGATAAACTGTTGGTGATCACCAGTCCTGAAACCGACCGATAGAAACACCTGATAGAACTGCAAAAGGAACGAAGATTCACTTCAACGGCTTCAGCAAAGCATTTCTGCAACTTGAACAGTAGCGATCTGGATGATGAACAGCGGTGAAGAGGCATGCTCAACTACTCGATCGCATTATGAAGACGCTAGCCATCTTAAAGGCTCCTATGGGCTGAGATTCTTCCTTGTCCCTTTTATATAGCCATTAACACGCAAGTAATTCTCCGGTATGAATGGAGTAAATGTGATTGTGTAGTACGGAGTGATGAAGAATTTGGTAGGTATGGGGTGGGTGTTTTTTCGTTAATCTCTGTATTTTTTGAAAATTATTTCGGTTGCAGCCATTGTGGGTATTGTGAGTAAACTGAGATGGGATGAATGAGATTGAATGGCTTTTTAGATTAGAAAGTGATTAGCAAGCGAGTCACTGAATCTTTTTAAAACGAGCAATTTATGGACAGAATTTTCTTAAATGTATGCGAGAGTGAAGGCGAAAACCATATGAATGTTAT